ACACGCTCACGCGCACACGCACACACACACACACACACACACACACACAGAGAGAGAGAGAGAGAGAGAGAGAGATTATTTTTATTATGTCTCTAAAATTGTATAAATATTATTTCTATTTAAAAAATTATAATAATTTTAAACAATACAACTATGTATTCCTAATCAATAGGGGGGATGGGACTATATCTCCTGAATACAGGTTACTCAGTAACCTAGCTAGGAGACTCAGGTTTCTACCCATTTCAAATTGTGAACTATGAATGTCAATAAAGAATTTTTATTATTATTATTATTTTATATTTCATTTTCATTTTTTTTAGAATAAGAATGACAAACGAGCACACAGTCCACCTGATGGTAAGTGGATGCTGTGGCCTATAGAAATCTACATTTATCCTTACTTTAGAATCAAAATGCAGATGCGTTGTCATCCCTGAGGACTAAGATGGAATGCCTCATTTCCAGTAAAAAAGGTCTCCGTATCTCTACACTTACCAATCGAATCACAGCATTATTAAGCTGCTATTTTACGCTGGTGTTCTGAGAGAGCGTGGTCCTTCCCCGGTTGAGCCGACCCATTGGTGCTACAATAATAACATAGCTGCAGCGTGGCTCTGTCACTTATATCTATACATATAATAAAACAGTAACGAAAAAAAAACTGTACATTGAGTATTTTCGAGAAAAATAAGTGGCTTTTGTTAGAAAAACGTAACTGATGACAAAAAGTGACTTTTTAGAATTTTTGTCTGTTTGTCTGTGTGTATGGTACGGCTTCACGCCAAAACTACTAAATAGATTGATTTGAAATTCAGCAAAAATGTTCTTTGTAAACCAAGGAAGGCTTTAGGCTACATATTATCACGCCGTAAGTTATAGGGGGTAAGCAGTATTGATTTTAAAAGGTTTTTCTCTGTAATTGAATGCACAAAATAATTGAATGCACAAAATGATATGTTATTAGTTAAAATAAAAATAAAAATGTAACTCTGGGAACATAATATTCACGCTATTTTTATAAAGGAGTGGGACAGTAATATTATAAATTGCAAGGGAACAGCTGTTTAACAATATGTCGACCGTCAAAAATGTTTACCGCATTAAATGGTGCAAGTTTAAATCCCATAATATTGTTTTGAAAAATCGTAATTTTTGTTTAATTTTTACACTTTTTATGTGCATTAGGAAATCCGAGAACTTTACATGTCCTATCTGATTGTATGAAAAGTTTCACACCAATATTACTAAACAGATTGATTGGTGGTACAACAAGTTACACTATCATTTCTACTATTACGTACTTATTCGATAACTTTTAATTATCTAAGAATCTAGCTATGCCTTTTATAAAAATATCAAATCTGTCTCGAAACTCAAGGATTTTTAAGATGCGCAGGTTAGATAGTAGTAGCAGTAGTTTTTCTCGAACCCACGCAGAGCTTTAACAACGGCTAGGTGCTAACCGTGAGCGTAATGCACTAAGTTTATCCGCAGAAACTAGCACGCAGCGCCAATTACGACTAGAATTTAAACGAGTCCGCACTACAGTTTCTCGATCTCAGGAAAGTGTGGAACAACGAGAAATGCTTTAAGCTATCGATCGGGATAATCATTCTTTGTCTCGCGTATCCGAAACGGTTACACAGAGAGATCAGAGGTTGAGTTTTCAGAATATCCGCTCTGAGACTGCTCGATCACTTCAGAGCAGTCAGGAGCGTGAGATACGACTTGCGCGTGACCGAGAACGTGGGCTAAGCCAAGGGTACAGCTATAGTTATTTGAAGATCTGGAACAACTGTTGTGGAACTCCAAATCCCAGCGACATTATAACATATATAGGAATGACGCCTTAGCAAAAGTTTAAACAACTTTCTGATCTGATGGGCATTTCGTGTTGACTTACAAAAATGAAAGATCTGGAACGTCTCGAATCGTCTCGCACATCACGTTGTTTTCCGTCCCCGGGCTCTTAGAATTCGAAAACAGACGTTTTAGATCTTCGATTTTGACGATATGCGAGATTATGCGAGTTGGACCAAAAAATCACTGCGATAATAATATTAAAATTGTAAAAAATATTGGATACAGTTAAAGTAATAACAATAGTTAAGTTAAAACAAATAATGGTTTATCTATCTACATAAAATATGGAGTCAGTTTCTACCTATGTCTGTTATATATTTTGAAACCATCCAACCAATTTTGACAAAAAATGTGTATGTTTGAATGGGTCCATAGATGTTTTATATTTACATTTGGACCCAGTAGATGGCGCTGTTGTCGGGATCCAGAAAGCAAACAAGCGAAGCCAATCCTCAATTCCTCGTATCGTATCGTCAATAAACGTCACAAAAGTTTTTCGCGGTTTGAGTCACATTTTTCCTTTTTTTGTAATAAAACAGCAGAATGTATCGAATTTATTCGTTAGATAATATATTATTATAGAGTAGAATATAGATAATATATTATTTTTATCCCTTGCTTAGTTTTATCCACCCTGCGAGCATGGGCAAGAGACAAAAATTATATCCCCCGATTATATCCACTGACAAGAGATAAAATTATCTTATCTCTATAGTATATCCCCGTTTGACATAATGAGTGGACATATATCTCCCCGTCCGTAGCATGGAGCCAAGGGAAAGAGAAAAAATTATCCCTTTTTGACATTTGAAATGGACAATTTTATCCTCTTTCGCGGACGTGGGTTTAAGTTTATCTTCAAACCATTTTAATACAAAACAGATGTCTCGAGCCTACTGCAACTACATTTTCGTGTCAGAAATTGAAAAACAAGAAAGAGAATTACATCAGCGATCGATACGTGATCAGAATACTTAATCTATTGGAATTCTCCGACAACGAATTTCTACGCCGGTTTCGGATGCTCAAAGATTGTTTTTGTATTTGTGTAAAGAACTTGATGAGGCTTTAAGGCCTATTAATTCTGTGGATAGACTAACAGTGCATATTGAAGTAAGCATCTATTACAACCACCTTGTCCAAAAAAGTCTCAATAGCTCAATGCCATAATTTAATTACATAGGTTGTGTCAACAATACTCAAGGCGAGTCCATGGTCAAGTCAAATTTAATGATAATAGAATCTGTCTATACTATATTTTAGGTAAGTATTATAACGTTTTAAAATAAAGTTATCAAACTTAGTAAAGTTACAATTCAAAGGTTTAAATTAAAAAATATGTTAATTCTTTAGCAAAGCTTGCTAAATATACTATACTCATGATTATAAAATTATTTATTCCTTGTTTTGCTTGAAATCATTACATTTTTATTCTTCATGCTTCATCATTTTCAATTAAAATTAAATCTTTGTGACTTAGAGTAGACATCAATTTGATGTATTTTGTAATTTTCTTATAATGGCAGTAATTGCGGTGATATATTTTTTTTAATTTCCTCGAGAGGTTACACCACCTCTAAAGGGTCTGTATTGTCCAGTTTCACAATTGGCTTAATTCTAAACACATATTTTTTAATAAATGCTATCACAAGCGACGTAATACCTGCGAATTGATACAAGCAATATATATTTAACTTAAATATTATACAAAAGAAAATAAAGAAAGAATTAGAATAATAGAAAAAATAAAAACAAGGCAGAAATACGCTTAAAATGAATATAACAAATATTATAAATGACATATTGTTTAACAAAAATTATTAACAGTTTAGCAATATAATACACAAAAGGTAAAAGAAAATATAAGTTAATGTAAATAATTACTTAATCTTAAAACTAGTTTATAGCTATCTATGCGCGGGGACAAGTTTATCTACTGTCGATATTATATCCACCATAGGCCCATGCTCGCAGGGTGGATAAAGCTTTGACATAGGGATAAGACAATTTTATCCCTTGTCAGTGGATATAATCAGTGGATAAAATTTTTATCCCCTGCTCATGCTAGCCCGGCTGAGAGGGTTACGGAACAACTAGTGCGCCGCACTGCTCTAGCGTGTGTTTTGCAGACTTCAGATATCACTTCGAAATAGTTTCAGTCCACAGACATTATTAACTTCACCGCCGAGTTCATTATAAATCACGAATTACTAATTACTAATTACGTTACACATCTACATACTACCACATTATTTCTACACGGCCCGGAGGGATTGGGATAGAATGCCGAAAGGCATTAAGTCAGCCTTTTGTACAATTTATTGGCGGTGTAAGATAACCTACTATCTCATATGCAGGCAGCTATGGCTTATTCACTTCCCCACCCCTATAAGTTTATCTATGAAAGAGGCTCAAGTTCTAGATTGCAGTTTCGATAGGGTGTAGTGGGTACATGAATGGTGTAGAGTTAATGAATACAATGCAAGATTAACTGTTTTTCCACCACACAAACACACACGCATCTATGTGTGCATTTTCTTTGTAAATTCCAGTATTCCGTTAATTTAAGTAAATAGATTGGAGTTTTACGGCGTTAATCTCGCTTCAACACACTATACACCACGGGGGGTCAAGTCTCTATGGAGCCGATGCAAACGTCGGGCAAAATAAGCGAAACAGAGACAACGCCATACGCTAGAGCTAGACAGAGAAATCACTATTGATGCTTTGCTTTGCAATATGGTGGATTATTGAAAGCGCTAAACGTACTTTGAAATATTTTTATTTCTATTGTATATTTCTTTGCTTTTATAGCATGTGTTTGAAGATTTTTACGAGATAGAGACTCATTATTTCGTGCTGCTGTGTTTTTGTTTTGTGTGCCCGCTGGACGCTTAGAGATAGAGACTCATTTCCTTATATTATTATTTGGTGTTTGTAATTCTTTTTGCCTGGACAATTTTACGAGATATAGACTCATTTCTTTTTTTTATTTTGTGTACGTGTGTCTGAGCATTATTTGTTAATATGTCACGCTATACGCGCTATGAACGAAAAAGAAAGTGTGCAAAGTGTAACATCACTGCCACAGAAGATTGAAACTTGAATTTCCACAGATTTCCTCTACCTGGTAGACATACATTTTTAAAGTAAGTAACTAAGCTATTCTAATTTTTTGTTACTTTTTCCCTCATTATCTTATTAAGTACCTAGTACTTAATGTTTTTAACGTTCGTAATGTTCATAACATAATAAACATAATGTTCATAACATAAATTTTTCATTGCTGGGCACAGGCCTCCCCCAAGGTTCACGACAACGACCAGACCTGTGCGTCTCGCATCCATCTGCTAACCGTGACCCTTACCAGGTTATTGGTCTTATCTTGTGGAAGGCCTTCCAAACTGTGATCAAAACTACACTTTAATAATTATTTCAGGGCACGTGTATGGGCTGAATACTGTTACCCTACTGGAGAGTGGTCAACTGAGAAATCACTAAGAGACTTGCATTCGCAACACAAAATGTTATGCAGTAAGCACTTTGATGATTCCTCATTCACTAACAGTGCGAGGATAAGATTGCACAATTTTGCCATCCCAACTGGGACACAGGATTTAATGGAAAGAAAGTAAACAGGATACAAATATCTCAGTTGAAAAACCTCAAGTAAGTAAACATTAATTACTATATTACTCAAAACTCCATCAATCATAAAGCTTGATATGTGGTTGGAATTTATAAGTACAGTCAAACAAATACTTATGCTAAAACTCACAGAAAGAAATTAAGAGGCCTTGTCTAAACTCTATTTTAAATTTCATTTTGTTTTAGAGAAACCAAACAACCAAAAGGTTGACTTGTAGAGAATGTCTTGATGCATTAAATCTGCCCTTGTACCACTGTTGTACATAAAGTTTAAATAAGTAAATAAATAGACCTCATTAATTTTCATCAGGCATGATTCAGGTCAAGAGCAAACTTGTATCAGTAATAATAAAAACAGTTAACTCAACGTCAACCATAGTATTGTTAAAAACCGAAATAAATACACAACCCTCAATCTCAAATAATGGTTTTCATAAAAGTATTACTTACTTACTCTTTTTTATTAGAAGTTCAATCATGAAGTTTTCAACAAGTTGAACACAAAAATGAGAATAATATGGCATTGGAAACATCCTGATAATTTAAATGTAGAAACTGATCATCACTTTTGTTTACAAAATAAAATAAAAAACCAGGAAAATAAAACTGCTTGTCTCTAGTTACTCAATTGGTAATGTAGTTTTGCAAGAGGTACTGGTGATTAAAGACTTAGGAGTAACTATTGACAGAAAGCTAACCTTTAAATCTCATATAAACATTATTGTTTATTAACAAAGCCCTGAAGTTCTTAGAATTTATTAAGCGCAATATAAAGGGTGTCAACTTTTTTTATATAATGCTTTTGTAAGAAGACTCCTTGAATTCGTTAGTGTCATATGGAATCCATCTTCTAGTGTGCACTCCCAACGCATTGAAAGTATACAGCATGCATTTACTCGACATCTTGCCTTTCATGCCAGTGGTATCTCACATAGGCAGCCTTACTATCAGCGACTGGATAAGTTTAAAATGATGTCTCTCCAAAATAGACGAAATATTCTAGATTTGTGTTTTCTACATAAAATAGTACACCATTAAGTTAAGTGCAGTGACCTCCTTGACTGCATTTTGTTTGCTGTTCTGCATAAATATCCCTGTTGTCGAATCCAAAATAATTCATATTCCTTTCGTGAAAACTCATCTTGGGCATCACGCTCCTATTGTGCATATATATGTGGAAAATAGAATGAATTTTCTAAATTGTTCATTGTAATTTTCAGGTGCTAGTGTTGGAACCTTCATTACCTGTTCAGGTGCCAACCATAGCCAACCCTACTACATCTTTACCTGTTCAGGTGCCAACCATATGTGAACCAACTACTGATAGCTTGAAGGTTTGTAGTACTTATAATAATTTTCACTCACATGTATAACATTATATATGTACAACATTAAAACTTGTGAAACTTTTGTTCACATTTTTGGTCATATAGAATGTGATGACGTTTTACTGGGCAATAGGGAATATGCATGCATTTTTTATTTGCAAAATTAATTAACTATTAACTGTAGTAAACAATTATGAAATAATTTTTAAAATACCTTCATCAGTGACAATGTTATAAAACTACAAAGATACTAATTAGAAAGAGAAGTCCAATAAAGACTATGATGGCAATGTCTGTACCGACCATACATCTGCCATACAAAACAGCATTTTCGCGAGAGGGATAGATATAATTATTTAAAATGGTTGTATCATGTTTGTTTTTATATCAATTTTGATTCTATTGCCCTGTTAGCATTATGTTCTGTATATTTTTAGATAAACTGTATGGTCTTATGAATATTTTTTCATGCATATTCCCTATTTCGAGCACAGTGACCAATTTCTCATATAAATAAGAAACAAACTAATGCTTGCTAATTATGTAGATTAATATCACCATAATGATTCTTACTCACGTAATGTTGAAACTGATTATCACCTTTGTTCACAAAAAATCGTTTCATTGTAATTTTCAGATGCTAGTATTGGAACCTTCATTACCTGTTCAGGTGCCAACCACAGCCAACCCAACTACATCTTTACCTGTTCAGATGCCAACCATATGTGAACCAATTACTGATAGCTTGAAGGTTTGTAGTACTTATACTAATTTTCATGAACAATATTAATCACAGTGACCAATATCTCATAATTAAATAAGTATAATAAACAAGCTTTTGACTTTGGCGCTTGCTCAGGTATCAAGAGTTTTCTTCATTGTTTATTAACTACCTACAAGAGTGACACTGAAAGTTCTTAGAAAATCAAAAACTGAACAAACTAGGAAGTTATATTAATATAACTTAATTTTTATTATATATTATAAAAAAATAATCTAAAAATATAACATTAGTTTTTTTATATCTTTTCAAAATAGTGTCCATTTACGTCAATACATGACTGCATCCGATGGAATTACTGATTTCACGTTTGACACGTTTTTCTTGAAGTTTTTACATTAAATCTTTGAATCATTTCACAACACCAATCAACACGATGGAGTTTTTGGGCCTCTATCAAATTAGTCATATATTATCCATCGGGCACAAAGCTTCCTGACCGCAAAATGTTCATGGAGAATATATTGTCGTATGTCTAGTTCGTTTATTTGGAACACAAAAACTTAAAATTTGTAACGCTAATTCACAACAGTCTATGTAGTTATTACATATGCCGTGTAGGAAGATCATATCCATTAAGGTTCGTCTACTTTGAAGAGGCATGAAATTATAATGGAGACTAGATTCGCTATCATCTGAAAAGTGACAAGAAAAACGAAAATGTAGGTGCTTTAAAAAAGTTTAACTGAATATTCTCTAGCTTTTGAATATACGTCACATATTGAGGATTCCATATTATACTATTATACTCCAGAATACTTCTGACATATGCAAAGTATAGTACTCGTAAACATCCAATGTCTGAAAAGGGCTTACTGACTCGTAAAGCAAAACCTAAATTTTTGTATGCTTTCGCGACTATTGTATCGATATGCCAAACGCACCCATTGTACGAAAATTTTCTAGCGTTGAGTTCATGCTGTCGTGACAGACAATTTCCAATTTGCAGCCAAATCGTAACCAAGTGACAAATTAATAAAATACATACACAACAATATTGGTAAAGAGTTCCACTTTCAAAATTTTCACTTATTTTTTATTATATCGTTTGCAAGTGGCCAGTGCTAAAAACTTTCATTGTTGCCCTCATATGTATAGATTTCGAACCTACAGTCTGTTTAAGTATTGTTTAAGAAATGAGGATCCATATGATCACAATATTTAACTTATTTCCAGATACCAAGGACTAAAGGGATTTTGAGGGAGCTGGATTTAGGCAAGTTATTGGAATTGACCCCTAAGAAACTTAAACTGTATAAAAGATGTAGGAGAAATTTGAGCGAAATAATGAGACTTAGAAAAAAAATTAAGAAACAACCACGTGCCCTCTTCAAAACATTAACTACAAATAGTAATGTCCAAAGTCTCATGGACAAAAATATATCAGGGCCATTTGCTTTATTGTTGCAAAGTCAACTGCAAAATACTCCCAGAAAACTAACTGGTCGGAGGTGGAGTATAGATGATAAAGTTATGGATTTTAGCATCTATAAAAGGTCTACTGGCTGCTATAGACTGCTGAGGCGACTTTTTTGTCTACCAAACGAAGGTAAAAGCATTGCTGAATAGAATTCCGATAAAATGCGGTATAAATAGCCAAATATTCAAAAAAAATTAAAGACATAACTAAAAAATCGAGAACCAGAAGAAAATCTGTGCATTTTGGCATTTGAAGAAATGTCAATACGAAAACATTTGCAATATAATAGTAAACAAGATGTATAGAAGGTTATCAAGATCATGGAAATCAAGGCAGAACTATGGAGCCAGCCACACATGCATTGCTTTTTATGGCTATTGGAATCCGAAAGAAGTGGAAGCAGCCTTTAGCTTTCTACTTTTCTGGTGACTGTGTTACGGCTGATAGATTATCTGTTCTTATAAAAGAAGTAAGTATGCAATACAGTTGACTGAAGAAAATAAACCATTGCATACTCAATATATTATATAATTATATATTTGTATTTACAGGTACTTGATGCAAGCTTCCTAGCTGGGTTGAATGTCACAGCTACTGTATCGGACAACTTTGGTGTGAACATCAAAGCACTAAACTCCCTTGGTTCCTCAGTGGCTCAACCATATTTTGAGTTTAAAGGCCATGAAATCGTCACAATTATAGACCCACCTCACCTAATCAAATGCTTCAGAAATAATTTACTGAAGTACGACATTAAATGCCCTCAAGTATTGCAAATTGATGGAAAATCTATACCAGGTAATTTAAATGTTGTAAATAATAGATAATAAGTAGGTATGACATGAGTACATGACTAAGGTCAAAGGTGGCAATTCAAACTTCATAAGATATATCTTGTCTTGTGCAATCCCGCCGCGCGGATGATCATCAGATTAATATAAATTAACACAGACTCAATAAATGTATTTATTAATACTTCTGTCATTATTTATAACATATTTTACATGTTTATTATTGCAGGTGTAGCCAAGTGGAGCCACATTAAATCATTCTTTGAAAAAGACAATGAAAATCCAAATTTTGTTTTTGCACCTGCTTTAACCAAGCAGCACATTGAACCCAATTTTAAACAAAAGATGAAAGTCTGCTTAGCTTGCCAAGTATTCAGCCATTTAGTTGCTGCAGGAATGCTTGCAAAGATTGCAAACAGTAAGTTGTTTTATTGGATAACTTTTAATCATCATCATCATCATCATCATCATTACAGCCCTTTACAAGTCCACTGCTGAACATAGGCCTCCCCAAGGTATGCCACAAAGCACCGTCCTGAGCCACCTGCATCCATCAACTTCCTTCATGTCTTACCAGGTCGCCACTCCATCTAGTGGAGGGTCACCCTACACTTCGTCTACCGGTATGAGGCTGCCACTCGAGAACCTTTTTTCCCCAACGGTTGTCGGTTCTTCGAGCTATATGGCCGGCCAATTTTTACTTCAGCTTACTAATCCGTTGGGCTATGTCGGTCACGCTGGTTCTACTGCGGATATCCTTATTTCTAAGTTTATTACGCAGAGAAACTCAGAGCAGCCCCTCTCCATAGCTCGCTGAGCGACTTTGAGCGTCCTCATAGGGCCAGCAGTGAAGGACCACGTCTCAGTTCCATATATCATCACTGGCAGCACGCACTGGTTGTACAACTTAGTTTTCTTAATTATTTTAATAATAACTTTTAATAATCTTCAAAAATAATCGATGTCTTGAAATATAATATAATAGTTTCTGAAAATGTCAATCAACTATTATTAGAGCTTATTCAAATAATCATTCTAATAAGATAAAATTAAGCTACTTCGCGTTGACAGCTTCCTTTTATAATTGAATATTTTTATAAAGATTACTTTATTTAGTGTAATTTTGATTACTTATTAGGTGTAATTTTTATGCCTGCTGTACACGCTCGTCTCGTCTTGTCTCGTGCCTCCCTCCCGACACGCTTCCAAGAGCGAACGAGGGCGCAAGACGCGACGCGGTGAACGCGTGAATTTCCCATTGTCTTCAATTTCATTTCATTTTCCCTAACCTTTCACTATAAAATAAAAAATGAGTGTTTACTTTACAGATGAACTGCCGCAAGAAGCAACGACGACAGCCATGCTGATAGAAAAAATAGACCAGCTATTCGACACCTTAAATGGCGATACGCCTGATCAGAAAAAGAGGAAAAAAATTCCTTACAAATTTTACCCGCAGAAGTCCACATTTAAATTTTTTTAAGGAAATGAAAATCCTGTTCCAAGAATTACAATTTATTGGGGCCAGATGCAAGCCGCCTTCGCAGGAAGGTTTTATTAGAACTATAAATGCAGTTGAGCGTCTATTTTTTAATTTAGAAAGGCAATATGGTATAAAAAGTTTATCAACGCGCAGGCTCAATCAAGATCCATTAGAAAACTGTTTTAGTTGCATCCGCAGCAATTGTGGATGCAACCCGAACCCAAACACCCTACAATTTGTTGCAGCTCTCAAAACCTCCACGATCAACAATTTATTGCATAGCAGTAAAAATAAAAATTGCAAAGAAGACGATAATGTCATATTAAATGATTTAAAATCTTTTTAAGTCAAGTTGACCAAAATAAAGAAACAAATGTAGCTGTTAAAACATTTGATTTAACAGAAGGTGTAGAAGCATCTAATACTGTAATACCACAGTGTTCTGGAGAACTGCAAGCTTGCGTATATGTATGTGGTTTCATGATAAAAAAATTAGTACCCATTTGCCATCAGTGCAAAATCACAATGCTTGCAGACCAGAACACAGAGGTTAGTCATTTATTCACAAGCTTTAAAGAATACAGTTGTATGCGCAACAGTCTACATTATGTTAATAATTTTTTACGGAGACAGTGGAGATTGCTGCAACAATTGTTAATAAATTTTTGGATGAGCATGGGTGTAAAATAAATATAAAAAATGAATTTATAGAAATTTTAAGAAGAAAATTAAATTTCGAATGGTTGCTTGGTTGTTCTGAGCACTATGATAAAAATAAAATGCATATAATTATTTCCACTATATGTATATGTATAAAACGACACTGTATTTTAAAAAATAGGCAGTTTACCGATGAAGCTTCGAAAAAAGCAATGAAAAGAAAAATAAATATTTTAAAACACGCTTACAACTTCGTTTTATTTAATATCTTTCCATAAATATGTATGCATCATGAAAATAAACCAAAATTCAGGTAATTTTCAAATTAAATACCAGAATTTCGCTTTGTTTTCATGATACATGGCATAAAATAAAATGAAATAAAATCATGAGTTTATCATCAGTTTTGAAATCTGGCGCGAAAATTAGTTCACGGGTCAAAAACTGGCGCGCTAGTGTCGCAAGTTGTTGGCATTTTTTTTGTATGCAGTTTTCGTTCTTCCCGTCAGGGTAAATGTATTCTGTGCTATACACTAACGAACTGTTACTGCCAACTAGCGTTGAAAAGTTAGAACTTTGAAACCAGGAGAATTACTAAAACGTAACAGCATGACACATCTTTACACATGACTATATTAAAATGAATCCATTATGTTTATAAATCTTGTAATTTGACGACTTGATGGCGCAGTGAAGCGCAATTAAAATTCATCCTCTTTTGATCTATTTCTGTCTCTATTTATCCTCTATTTATTTAAAGTCAGGCCTTTTCTTTACTATAAAACGGGACCACTCTTGAGATTATATACAATATATTTGACATAGATGAATTATTTAAATCGGTTCGGCCATTTTAAAAAGTCTTTGAATTCGATTAATCAATGAGTTAATTTCTGTTCTTGAAACGAGAATCGATACTTAATATTCTAAGCATCAAAGTAATACACTTTTAACGCCATCTAGTGTTGAATAATTCAGAATGACTTTCCACTTTATACAAAAAGTAACTATTAGCGGAAGCTTTGAGTTCGTCGTTATTATTAATATTTTTAAATATTTTGTACCAAAATGAAAATGATACTTGATTCCGTTTTATACAACGAGCTTTAATAGATTCATACGTCATTTGATACATGACGGTTTAATAGATTAATACGTCATTTGATACAACTAATCACCGATCAACTAATCACCATACGGTGATTAGTTGATCGGTGATTAGTTGATACCTAGACTGTATGTATAAAATCTAGATAACCTAGACGTATTTGCCATAGTTGCCACGCTTGGCAGACGGGTTAGATGCAGTAGTTTTTTGTGTTTTAGTTTATATTGGACAGACACTGCTGCTCATCTGTTGGTTTGTCTCCCTCTGTCGCTCTTACGACACCCACGGGACGATGTGGGGCTGGCGATATTCTCACACCGCCCGTACACAAGTTCAATTGTGAATGTCAGAATTTAAAACTACGTTTTAGGGACTGAGGTACGTTTAATATAATAATAATAATAAGGAAGTGACGACCCCATCGCCCGCTGACGAAACGGTTAAGTGGCAAAACTGCTACGTCGGTGCAGTCAGTCAGCTCCTTGCCAAGAGGTGTGAGCGCCGTGCCTCGGCAGTACTCAGGGTGCAAAGGCCCGTCTGTGCTTACGGCTGTACAATGATACAATGAAACGGTGCTGGGGTCTAGGCGTCTCCCGTTAATTGGCGCCCAAAAATGGATGATGGAATGTAATAGAAAGTGTATAGGGCCGCTGCCTGGGGGTCGCCGGGGCGCATCTGGAGCTGGCGCTGGACGCGGCAGCATGCGGGCCGCCAGCCGAGCGCGAGGAGTTGCAAGATCACCTAGCAGCCTCCCGCATCCATCATTCCTACCAGACGGCTTAATGCCGGCAGGGTCCTCTCGGACTCGGCATGCCGCTGCTGGTGGAGTGCGCCGCATGCGTTGGACAAGGGATATGAACGCAAACGCATTGCGGGCGTACTATAGGGTGAAAGGGGGAAGAAACTGCAGGGATAGCGTATCGGGCTCGGATGCATTGCTTTTTTGCTGAGCTGGAGCCGTCTATCTCCAACACGGAACAAAACCTGGCAGACCAAGTTCGGTACATCATGCGCTCGAAAATATTTGATGTTGCCGAGCTCGAACGACTACGACGTGAGGCCATTCCCTCATTGAATGAATTGGCTACGGCTGGCGATGCGGCTCCTCAGGCGACAGACCAGCTGCTACGCGTAGAATCCGCCATGGATCTTTCAGTTGTGGTTGATTCGGAAGATGATGAAATGGTCTCCCACGAACTAGAGCAAATGAGGAGTATATTGGAAGAGGCGATTTTGGAAACGCGCAGCATGCAAGAAAGAATTAGTGAAGGATCTGGGGATATTACTGGATTGCAAGTTAAGCTTCTCAGAACATATTGAAACAATAACGCACTTGGCCTATAAAAGCCTTGGCTTCATCCTACACGTAAGCAGACCCTTTACTGATATTAACTGTATTAAATTACTTTACTTTTCATATGTTAGAAGCGTCCTTGAATATTGCAATACTGTATGGAACCCGCATTACACTGTTCATATAAATAACTTAGAACAAATTCAGCACAAATTCCTGAGACATTTAAGGTATAGAAATTTTATTTACCCTAATAACTATGAAGAGTCTTGTAGATATTTCAATATAATAAGCCTTGAGGATAGACGTGCTCTAATGTACATGGCATTTTTGCGTGGTTAATGTAATGGAAGTATTGACTGTGTAACTTTAGCTCATAGAGTTCTCTGCTTCTGTACTCCGAAACGTAGAACGAGACATACACCATTGTTTGCGGTTGTTAAGACAAAGACAAACTATGCACAAAACTCTCTGGTGAATCGTTTACAAAAAGTTTATAATAAAAGATTCCACTCAGTTGATATTTTCCATTCCAGTAAGGATAAGTTTAAGAAGGATGTCTTGAAACTTCTGATGTAGTGAGTTTAGGTAACTCATTAACTCATACACACACACACACACACACACACACACACACACACACACACACACACACACAAACACGCACGCACGCACGCACGCACGCACACACGCACACACACACACACACACACGCGCGCGCGCGCAAGCACACACACACATGCCTGCGTGCGAGGGAGGCGCATACGAGCGTTATGTATGTTGAAAATCTTTTAATTTTCTTGTAATGTTTTCTAAATGTTTAAAAATATGTATTTTTAGTCCCAACTACTTTGTCTTCAACATGTCCGTTATAAATTGAAAATACTATTTAAATAATGTAAATCCGTTTTTGGCTATAATTTAAGATCATAAGATGTACATACGATGTAACAAAATGGATGTCGGGGCGTGGTCAAGGAACTTAGGAAGTACTCCTCATTGACGCGGTCATTGGCAAAGTGGTAAAACGCAACCGTCGGAACTTCTCCGCCGCCTGGATAGACTACAGAAAGGCATTCGACTCGGTGCCCCATATTTGGCTAAATAGAGTCCTCGAGCTGTACAAGATAGACTGTACAGTGAGAGACTTCCTCGAGCAGTGTGTGGGGCAGTGGAGTACGATCCTTTGTCATCTGGGCGAGCGGATGATGGCTGCGGAGAACCACATAAGGATAAGAAGGGGTATCTTCCAGGGCGATTGTTTGAGTCCAATCTGGTTCTGCCTCTCTCTGAATCCTCTCAGTACCTTACTGGAGGGATCCGGGAGGGGATTTCAACTACGGAAAGGAGGTACAAAAGTGACCCACCTTTTCTATATGGATAACCTCAAGTTATTCGCCTCCAGTCGCTCCCATCTTATGGAATTGTTAAACATCACTTGTGAATTTAGCAATTCCATTGGAATGGAGCTGCGGAAGGATAAGTGTGCGGTCCTCTATGTTGAAAGGGGATGGGTTGCTAACTCTGAGGGCATAGATTTATATATGCACGTCAACTTGAGTACCCTTTCCGAGGCTGAAACATACCGATACCTGGGTATGTCACAGAACATCGGTATCGATGAGGCTGGTATGAAACAGTCAGTTTGCGACGTGTTTTATGCACGCTTGACCAAAGTGCTTAATAGCCTTTTGTCCGGTGTGAATAAGACACACGCATATAACGGTTGGGTCATGCCTGTCCTCATGTATACCTTTGGCATACTCAAGTGGACTCAGACTGAACTTAACGCCCTAGATAGAAAAGTCCGCACTACCATAACGTCCCATAGGACGCATCATCCAAGATCGTCGGTAATGAGGCTGTGCTTGCCGCGAAAGCATGGTGGGCGTAGCTTTCTGAGCGCGCTCACCATGCATAATCGTGAAGTGTGCAGCCTCGGTCGTTACTTCCTGGCGAGAACAGATGATCCATTCTATAATGACGTCATTTCTAGTGATAAAGGATTTTTTTTAGATTAAATTCACTATCCTTAGCTAACGAGCAATGGCAAGACCCAGCAGTGCTTAGCATTTCCGACCAGGAGGCCGTATGGAAGGAGAAGGAGCTCCACGAGAGGCACTACAGGGCTCTACACGAGCCCTTCGTAGATACAGTCGCCTCCCTCAACTGGCTACGTTTCGGTGACCTATTCGGGGAAACCGAGGGTTTTGTCTGTGCAATACAGGATCAGGTTATTAAGACCAACAATTATCGGAAATACATCCCAAAGGATGGCACCGTCGACGTCTGTCGAGCTTTTCGCCATCCTGGTGAGTCGCTTAGGCATGTCATCTCCGGTTATTCGGCGCTTTCTAACTCTGAGTACTTGCACAGATACAACCTAGTAGCCAGAATTTTACATCAGGAGCTCGCTCTGAAATACGGTCTCATGGACAGGAAATTGGCGTATTTCATACAAGTACTTGCCGGAAACCGTGCTCGAAAATGACCGCGCCAGGCTCTACAGGGACCGGGCCATCATCACAGACAGGACTATTCTTGCGAATACGCCTGATATTTTGCTGATGGACCGGGCACAGTCAAGGATATTTTTGGTCGACATTACCATTCCGTATGACGAGAACCTCGTGAAAGCCGAAACAGATTAGCGAACAAAGTATCCGGACCTGGCTCACGAGGTGACTGACATGTGGGGTGGTTTGCCGGCCGAAATTATTCCTGTAGTCGTCTCTGCGAATGGGCTAATCCCAGTCACCCTCTCGGGTTATCTGAGGCGACTGGGACTCCGTGACCGACCGCTCCGGGCTGAAATGCAGAAGGCAGTGCTCCTCGATACCGCCCGCATCGTCCGCCGGTTTCTTTCCCTTTCCTCCTAACCCTCGGCCGTCTGGTCTCCCCTGCCTAGGGCTTCCATCTGGTTAGATCTTTATTTATTTATGTATGTTTTTTTGTATTTTTATTTTATTTTATTGATATTTATCTATATTTATCTTTTCATTTTAATTTATAGTTATATATTTATAGAACCCAACCAGATGAGAAAACTATATATATACCCCAATAATAATAAATAACGTTGATTTTGGGGCCAAGGAATATGAAGAATCTATGACCGAATGCAGTTTTAACTATAGTAGACTTTGTAACCAGTTGGTTACGTCGTGTCTATTCTGGGGTATATTTGGTTGAGGCATGTTGTTTGAGAGTGGTGTTTAAAATGAATAATTGTCTAACTGTTAGTACTTGGCAATAGTCGTAAAGTTGGTCTGTAGGAAACATACGCGGTTTAAATCACACCACTCTGAAAACTTTCTAAATAAATAAAACAAAAAAGGGGAGTGCATGTGAACAGACTTTTACTGGGCAAACTCGCTCCATCGTAGACCTCATCTTTGCCCATGGGCCAGATGGAGGTCAAGAATGAGCATATTTTTAATAAAAAAGTCAAGCTGTCGTTACTTGAGTGGCATTTTTCATAAAGGTACCCATTATAAAATATTCATATGAATTTAAATAAAGTCCACCTCTTCCTTCTTCAGCTTTTGACTTTTTTGAATGCAAGGAAAAAATGTAAGCGGCTTTAGCATAATTATCCTTTCGCTAAACAAAACTGTCTCGTTTGAAATAATTTAACTTGCTTCAAAAACTCGAAATTAAAAAGGATTCCAAGAAGAAAAAGCTATGTCATTAAAACATCAAAACACTAAGCTCTCTCGTAGTAGCTTTTAATTGTTATGATATCTCAGCCTGAAACTTTTCTTTTTTTCTGGATGAAAGGGCTCTTTTTCCTGTCTAAATATCCATCTGCATTGGTAACACCCTCCTACTATGGCAGATATCTGTCGCCAATCAGTAGCGCGTGCTCTGCCGTGCTCCGTTCTGAAAGTTATAGAGAGCCAGGATAATTACAGGCTGTAGGACATTCCATCTCAGTCCGTAGCAGTGCGAACACGTGTGTAGCCTTCTACGTACGAATTTGGTTGTAGGTAGGTAGGTGATTTGTCGGCATTTAAAAAAAATAAAAATGTCATTTCTTGTCAAGTTGTACTATTCCAAAAAATCGCCGGTGGTAGTCGATTCCACAACAAATTCATGCGAGGAAAAAAACTCCTCATTATCTCATAGTAGTTGACTGCCAAGTTCTGTGAGTGGTGGTGTTTTTCGCAATGTGCGATGTTAAAATTTAAATGCTGAAATTAATCAGAACAAATCCTCTAAGCACTTGTTGGATAAATACGATAAAATTGCAAGGGGATGCAATATCGTGTCATGTCTTACCAGGTTAATACGGTATTACCGGTACGAGGTTGCAACTCCAGAACATTTCTTCGCCATCGGTTGTCCATTGAAACTTCACCTTATTTCTTCTTTATAATTAACCTTCAAATATGTAGGGTTTATGTGATAGGATATGAACCTTTCCTGCTATAAATAGGTTTCGCTCATTGATTCTTTTTTTAATATTAAATATATTAAGGTTATTCTTCAATTTAAAATACAAAATAAATAACGGTAAAGAAAAGATAACTCGAAGAACCGCGTCTTGTGGCGTTTAATAGACCATACTTAAAAGCCTTTCGCTAATGGCGTGACGCAGTTCGCCGACGACAGTTCACGCCCACGTAATGAGTAGACGGATAAAGTTTTCTCGTCTGCATTGAAAAGTGTTCTTAGGGATCGGTGAAAAATAAACAAACAGCGTTATAGTTCGTATTATTAATGGCGTAGTCTATCTAAGTCCCATTGCTTGAATTTTTTTAACGAAAAAATGCGGAACGAAGTACTTCTCACTTCCTTAAAAAAATAACTATACATAATGTTGTGAATTAGATAAACACTTGTACTAGTTTTACAATACTCATTTTAAATTAATTAATGCTTCTTACATTTTGATTATAAATGGAGGATAGATCTAGGTGTCTATGCGCCACAGCATCCTCGGATTACATCCACGGTGCTCATTTGTCCCACTTATATATATAAAATATTTTGTTTCATCAGTAATACCAGTCATCTTGAAGAT